GGACTGCAGAAACCATGAGCCTTGCACTAGAGACAGAAATTTTTATTGTTGTTCTGTTTCAATATTGGGGTTGTCACATGGATTGTTGTACATAAGGGGGCAGTGGGTGTGAGGATACCACAATAGTCTGGGAGAAGGAGTCAGACTGGAGTACTTATTGTTGAAGTTTATATTGGAGTTGGAATGTAATTGGTAGTAAGAGCAGTTTAAAATTTAGTTTTGAGGTGGTTTCTTTTTCTTTAAAACTTTTTTTTAAAGAAGCATTTTCAGGATATTTTAAAGTCTCTGGGGCCATACTGCCACATTTGGAGATCTTCCACATAAAGTAAGTTTGTATTAGGCTAGATAAAGTCAGGAAACCCATTTCTAAACCAATCTCTTAGCTGGTAGAAGAGTAATGTTGTAAAAGGGTATCAAATTAAACATGAGAACATCCATGGTTATCCCTGATATCAACCTCACACAACATTACATTTTAATTAACTATTTTGATAGCTTTGGAAACTTTCATGAAATCACAATTGGTGTACTATATTTGTCACTTGGATAGAAATTTCTTACGTGTAATTGTTCTCAAAACAAGTACTACAAATACAAAACAAACATTTTCAAATGCAAGCAAATTATGGCAACACTGCTCTAAACAGTGGCATTTTTAGCTCTTTATCTTAATCAAATACATTAAGACAGAGAGTCAGTACCTCAGTTTTATGTCTCATCCGAAGGACGGCACCTTTTTACAGTTTAGTATCCCCATCACTATACTGGGGCATTAGGACCCACATAGACTGCAGGGTGAGCGCCCCCTACAGGCCCCACTTACACTAGCAGCATCCTTGGTTTTTCCCATGAGTCTCCTATCCAGGCTCATTCCTGCTGAGCTTCAGTGGGTTGCCAGTTGTGAACTATAGAATTATATGACTACTGGCTGCTAAAATCTCCAAAATAATTTTCAAACTCTTTTATTCATACATATGTATTCATATATATATAGAGTCACATAAATTAAAAATTAGTTTAGGATTTCACAGTTTTAGTCGGTATTGGATTTTCATCATTTTGCTTTCAGTCACCAATTACAAGAAGTAATTGTCCATATAGGAAAATAACCTCATGAAAAATATATCTCAGGAACATTAAAAGTATTGAGTTTTTTTACTTTACCAGTATTTTATTTTTACTTTTGATAAAACACACCATTATTTTCAGGTGAAAATTGTTTTAAAATATAATTAGGTTTTTCATGCAGAGCATTCCAAAATTTTCAAGATAATTTGAATACAGACTACATTTTCTATAGACAGAGTAACATAGGCCAGAAAAAAATATTTAAAGAATAGATAAAATTGCTGTTAATTAGATGCCATACATTTTAAAATAGGAGAAGCCATTTATATAGGTTGACTCCTCTAAACCTACTATATCTACTATTATGCTATATTTTCTTTATAAACATTTTTGTCTGAAAAGCTCTATCATATTCAATATATGTTAAACATTGTTTGTCTTTTAATCTGTGGGATAGTTATGTATTAATAATAATAAACATTATTTTATATAGCACCTTTAAAGGTGGCTTCTAAAAGCACTTTACAGAATGATAACAACAATAAGTATTGCTAAATTATTTGGATTATATCTGAGACAAAGAGTAAAATGGGGAAACACTTAAACTGACGAAGAGCTTTATAAACTACAAGTTGAAAAATTTTCAGTCTCTGTGAATGTTTTTTTGGTATTCCTCTTTGCGAACTTCCTCACGTTGTATGTCTTTGAATGGAGGTAGGTTTCAGGAGTGGAGATTGAGCTGCGAAGATTAGAAAATTTCTCCTTAAACAATTGCGTTTTTGCCACGAACAAAATGAATATTTGTAGTCCCTGTTATAAAACAACAAAATGAAACTTTCAATTACAGTATAACATGAACAATATTCTGCATGACACATATATTCACATGCTATCACAAAAGAACAAAAGGTTAATTCCTCACTTAAAAGTAGAAAGAGAAAGCATTTCGGGATTTTGGCGCAGATGTGAGCAGGCTTAACAGTTAACAGCTTGTTCTTTTTTGTGCTTTTAAATATGGAAATAACCTGTTCCTTTGCAGCCCATTTTAAATCTCAATCATTACTAACATTAACTATAATACTGTATATCTTGCAGACAATGCTTCTTTGTTACATTCACCCCACGCTTCCTCCTTGTCTGGGAAGCTCAACTCAACCAGGCAGGTTAAACCAAAACTTATTAACTTAAATGTGAAGTAAAAATTCATTCACAAAGCATGATTCAGCATTGATTCTTGGAAGTCATTATTCCTCAAAGCTTTTTAGACCGTTAAAACTGAATGCATTTTGATAACTCTTCCTCAAATGTACATCATTAAAGGCATTGATTTATTGATATGTTCATTTAAACATTAATCATATAAAATAATATAATCTTTCATAGTTTAAAACATATAAATGGTTTTCAACAGACCTGGGTGGTGTTAAGAATGCAAAAGATGTAACTGAAGACTTCCTTGCTCTGGTTGTCATCTATCAGCATTAAATAGCCCAGCAACCAGGTTACACCAAGCACCACAGACAGAGACAGGCTGCCAAAGAAGTTCTTCAAAAAGGTTTTCCGGTTCCTAATTGAAAATAACAGAGGCTGCTATTATTAAATGTTAAATTTATATTAATTAGAAATGTTATAAAAATAATAACATTTTTATTAAAAAAATAATATTCACAGTTAACATTCACATGTTAAATCAGCTAATCCTGCTTTGTATATAAAAAGAAGCTTAATATTAAATGTAACTGTTAAATAGTTATCATGAAAGTACATGGCTTCATTCACCAAATTGAAATAATGTTTTGTATGTGGTACATGCCTTTAGAACATATTGAGTTCCAGTATTATAATTTATTTTCCAAGGAAAACATACAATATCAAATACATTTAGGACATTTTAATAGTTTAGTAATTATACTATTTTAAAATATTTCTTTTGTTTTTGTGCAACACCTTAAAATGCATGCAGTGGATCTGTTGTATCTATTGATGGCATGCTGCATGTGCAATTGCTTCTCCACAGTAAAAAAGTTTTCTTTCATTTTCCAAGAATTAATCATTACAAAACATTCCTGAAGTCCTTCTTCAACCGGCTAGAACAGCAGAATAGTGATATTTGCAAGCTGCTAGTCAAGCTCTGGCATCAAGATTTATTTTATCACGTGGTTACCTTTCTTCAGCTGTAACTAAGACTGAGTAACACTTTTCAGGATCCTTTCTACTCACTCTTTTTGGAGGGAGAAAAAAGGTGGCCTAAAAATAGTCTGCCTCATTACTCCTGACTGGATGGATATGTCCAGAGGAATCATTTTTCCACTGCTGATAAACAAAAACTTGGAATGCCAGGATGCTCATGGACTGTTCACACAATTACTGTCCAGAACATCATACAGCCTTTATGGGTAGAGAGCTCTGTATGGAACCCTGATATTAATATCACCCTTGGTGAAATCAACATTCAAGAAACGACCACCTCAAGGAACATGGAAGTATCTATCAATCAAATTCCATGACATTTCATGGATTTGGTATCTGAAATGAAATCATCAATGAAAGCGTTTGATAAGTTAAAAACAGCAAAACAACTTGAGAAGAATTATTGCTAAAATGTTAGGCAAAATGTACAGGAACCAACACTACATTATGACTTATTATACAGTTCTTTAAAGAGATAATGCCATATGATACAGCCTCTGATCAGCTCTACAGATACCTTTGAAATCTGGACAGTAGTCAGCCCAGGGTGTGTCATCACTCCAACTCCCTATACATTTCTGGAGTTAAGCTGGCTTACCAAAATAGCTAAATATTTAACCTCCAATTATCAGTTCAAATCTACAACCACTCTGACTTCAGTCATTAAATTCTAGAATGCTGACAATGCAGCAGCATGTAAATACTGGAAAAATAAATAAATTGTAACACGATATTTACTGAGACATTTGAGAAGACAAGATAGATATACAGATCGATCCATTCAAAATGCACGAAATACGCTGCATCAAAACGTGGTAGGTGTGGCGCATCTTAGGGCATTAAACTGCATGCAAATTGAAATATAATAATAGTATCCGGAAGCACCTTGTAAAACCACCGGGTGGAGCTAATAAAGCTTAACGTCACATGTACAGCATTTGAGCTGTCCCCAGAAAACACCCAGTTTCGAATCCCGGTCACTGCTGAGAGGAAAATCTTTTTCCAATTAAGAATTTAAGTTGTATGCTCTTTAGATTTTTTATTAATTTTAAACTGTCTATTACAGCATGTTAATCACTAAATATTAAAAAGTCAGCAAAGTTTATGAAAGCAAGATTGCTCAGTTGGACAAATGTACACAACCTTCCACCTTCATCATAAATAGTTTAATTATGCATAAATATTTTATGCATCAAAGTATTTCACTTGGTAACTTACATAGGTTCTGGTTTTAACGTGCTTGTTCTAACATTATTAAGCTTATATTCTGTACTTCATAAAATGTTATAACGTTTTATCTTTTTCTGAGAATACTTAGAAAGAACACCACTTGCTGTTATTGTAAAAAGATAAACGTTGTAGTAATTTAACATCACTTGATAGTTATATGAATATGGAATCACATAACTAAGCAGCTAAAGTATCACAAGTGGACATTTTGGAAACATTTTGACATTCGTTTCTTTTAAAAAAGGTTTGTTTATTTAGTGAATACATAAAAATAGTCCACTATTATAGCTTGTTTTTGGCTCTGGTGTGAATTTGTGCATCTGGATAAGTTAAGTGATGGTATTGTGATTAGGAGTTCTTCGCAGAATTCTTTAAGTTAAACAAAGGAGGGAAGAAGGGCTATTATTACAATTGGCACTCTGAGATTCAGACTGATTTAATTCCCCTCATTTAGCTGAAACGGATAAGGAAATCATGCAGTAGTTATATGTATTGGAAGGCGCTCTGTTTTATTAACAGACACTCCGACTCAAACCTGTGTTGTACAGTGATGTAGACGTGGGAAATGTCATCCCCATTAAACAATGTGTTTATTGCACAAATCCTGCTAAACTAGAAATTAGACACCAGAAGAGTATTATTGGACAATGTTGTGTGGCTCTGGTGGAATTGCTCTGTAAACTGAAGAGTTATAGAGAAGACATGTTGTGTATCGCCTCTTTTTACACTTGTAAGAACATTCCAATGTTAGTGCAACACGGAAGATATTATTAATTACCCTTTAAATCTGAAGCTGTTAGCTTTACTTCACACCTGCATGTCAAGATCACGGTTTCAAAAAAAAAACATCAAACCTTTGAATGGGTGAGAACATCATGATTATTTCGCAAGGATGTGAAACATGACAATTTGTTTCAGTTATCATCAGGAGAAAAAAAAGTTTATTTTTTATTTATTTGTGAGTGCTGCAGTGGCTTGCAATGGCTGGATAGTTAACACTTCAAAATATTAGTCTGTCTGTGGGGGGAAGGGGGGAGCGCTCCTTAACAGTGACACTCCTCCATATGCTTAAGTGGAAAATTTATAAAAACACCAATGTAAACGTCATATTTACAATTTGTTGAAAATAAAAATGGAAAGTTCTGTAAAGCTTTCTCAGTCAAGAATGAGAATTCACGTAGGGAGCTGTGTAAGCATGTGTAGGCACCAAAAGATCAGCTAAAGAGGGAAGAAAACGCTTTCAGAGAAAACAATGTTTCAGGTGTGAAGAATACAGATCCCCAATTCAATTGCAGCCTTAACCTTTCCCCACACACTCTGCCCCCCCGCGATTGGAATATACACAAAGCACTGAAATCTTTAGAGTAGATGATCAGGTGTTTTGCAGACGTAGAGATAGTACGTAATTCTGGCTTTATGAACTCACACCTGGGATTTGATTAATTCAAAAAAAGTTTAAAAAAAACTGCACTGGGCAGTGCTGGACGGTTAGTGGATGGTGCGCTAGTTTGTCAGCAACTTGCTAATCAGCTTAACACCTGTAGAAAACCTGATTTTATTTCTGTTGCGTTTATAAAATTAAAGTGTTTCAAATGTTTAATTAAGAAGTAAAAAGAACTTACAGCTTACACAAAAACTCAAAGACTCTGTGCATGAAACGTGTTTTAACTGATTTATATACAGTCTTCTCATGTTGATTTACATGTAAGTGTCCTTCTTTCAGTTGTATTGCATGATTATTGTTGTGATTTCTCTATTATTTTTGAATCCATCAACTCGTTCACGTGATTATTTTGGAAATATTTTGACATTCCTTTTAACTCAGAATTTGTAATTTCGGGTGCTCTGAACGAGTTAAGCTTTGATGCAGTACAAATAAATGTATTTCCCACAAGCTATACTATAGTGGCTTTAACATTATTCAACATTGCACTGTTTGCATGTGGCACATCTTTGTTCAAGTTTTAAAACTACAGTATGGAAAAATGAGTGTTAAGAAAAAACAGGAGGTTTGATTGATGGTTGCCTCATATTTATTTTTTTAAATGAAATAAAATATAAGATACAATGACGTGTTCCTGCCTAACTCAAACATTGCATGACTTTAAAAGCTGTAAAAAATGGTTTAGATATCAGAAATTCACCTTGCTCATACAAGCGGCTCTGGTAAGCAGATTTAGTGTTAACACAACACCCCCTTTGAATGAGTTTTAATCGACTTTGTCTGTCAGTGAAAAAAATGACCGCGGGCACTTTTCCTTCTCCCCTGGTGTGAGGTGACAATGCGGGAAACTGTTTTTTTTATTTTACTGGGAGTGTGAACATTGAGTGAGCACTGGGGAGTGCATTGAGACTAACACAGTGAGATTACTGAGATGGATAGTTTTAGTAAATATGTTGACAAATATCTGAATTTTTGCAAGATGAAACTGTATCCAGCTGTGAATCAGATACGTGACCTTACCCCCGTGAAATTGTGGGAAAGAGATTTAGTGGGCAGTGTAGTGACCATAGAGTGTTTTAATACACTGTACAGTATAACAGTATAAAGCACGTATGTTTTTTTTTAATGTTTGTAATCGCTGTGTAATTGCTTAAGCCGATAATGAGCAAATTCACAGAAAAGGTTGAAAGACTATCACTTTTCACAAAGTATATAATCTTAATATGTTCAGAAGGAGCAAGTAAAAACATTTCCAAAATAACCACATGTAAGACTTTGATGCTTAAAATGTTTAGGGAGATACTGGAATACTATATTTTTTCTTTAAAATACCAATACCAGCCATATAGAGTTTACATTATATGTTTATGTTCCTAAATTAATATTGTTTATGATCATCAGACGCGTTATGCTCCTCTTCATTTTATGCTCAGCTACTAAAATTTCCCTTTAGTTGTAAAATTCCCTATAAATATTCAATATTAAGTGGATTAAAACATGCATTAGATTAAATGATTAAATCTTTTCACTAACGACCAATGCACCACGAGTGCCCCCGTCGGTCATTTTGGCCATTTTGGCCAGCCATCACGTACCGCGGTACGGCGCAGTGACTTGTGGAAAGGCATGTTGAATTGGAGATTCTCAAAACTTACTTTGTATGATTGGAAACTAATACATGATCGGATCAATGAAATGCTGTG